ATTAGCAATTTCGATGTGCTTGATTTACATCCCTCTAGATGCCTAGATGTAGCCCTTGAGAGTTTGTGTTTGTCCAAGGACTTCTCTTAAACAGTAAGAGCTAAGCCCACCAAATTTGGTATACAGCTTCCTCTTATGGTAACTTAAACTAAAACTAAAGCAAGGTAAGGTTTTGTTGTGCCTGGAATGGGATTTCTTCTTATAAAACCGTACAGAAAAAAGAACCACCAGGCAGGTGGAAGGGGTTTGTTGGTGGGGATTCTTCCCTATCCGGTACTGCCCCAGCTCCAAGCCTCCCAGCCCCCCAGGAGCCTTTAAGGAGGGTGGAAGGGGGGAGCTAATGCTCCGTTCCTCTCCCCAGATTACTTCAGGAACATTGCTGACTGTTCCTCTTTGTCAGGGAGCATGGAGAAGTGCAGAGTTTGCTGCATTCCTCACTCTGACTGAAGAATGCAGGGAGCAGATGAACCTGGACCTTCACCCTTCCCCAGGCTATGCCTAGTGGAGCTGCAGCGCCCATGAAGAGGCACCTCTCACCTGGCCTCAAGCTTTTGCAGACAGAGCTGGGGTAGTCCTCTCTTCCCAAGGCAGCCTGCATATTGAACCCTTCATCCTCAGTCCTACCCCAGAGCAATGATTTAAATGGTGTGTACATTTTAATTTAATTTTCCAAAAATTGACTTAAGGGCCCTCGCAGTGTTTGGTAAATCTTCTAGTAGCTTTTATATGGGTTCCCTCAAAATGGTATAAACTATCCCAGTGTAAGCACAGTTATACTGATGGAGAAAGGGGTAAGCAGTGAGGTAGTAAAGTTTACAGATGATACCAAACTGTTTAGGATAGGCAAGACAGAAGCAGACTGTGAGGGACTCCAAGATCTCACCAAACTGAGTGATTAGGCAACAAAATGGCAAATGAAATTTAATGTGGATAAGTGTAAAGTAATGCACATCGGGAAAAATAACCCCAACTATACGTATAGTATGATGGGGGCTAATTTGGCTACGACAAATCAGGAAAGAGATCTTGGAGTTATCGTGGACAGTTCTCTGAAAACTTCCACAAAGTGTGCAGTGGCGGTCAAAAAGGCAAATAGGATACTAGGAATTATTAGGAAAGGGATAGAAAATAAGACCTAGAATATCTTACTGCCCTTGTATAAAACTATGGTACGCCCACATCTTGAATACTGTGTATAGATGTGGTGATCTCACCTCAAAAAAGATATTTTGGCCTTGGAAAGGGTTCAGAAAAGGGCAACTAAAATGATTAGGGGTTTGGAGCGGGTCCCATATGAGGAGAAGTTAAAGCGACTGGGACTTTTCAGTTTAGAAAAGAGGAGACTGAGGGGGGATATGATAGAGGTATATAAAATCCTGAGTGGTGTGGAGAGGGCCGATAAAGAAAAGTTATTTATTAGTTCCCTAAATAGAAAAACTAGAGGACACCAAATGAAATTAATGGGGAGCAGGTTTAAAACTAATAAAAGAAAGTTCTTCTTCACACAGCGTGTAGTCAACCTGTGGAACTCCTTGCCAGAGGAGGCTGTGAAGGCTAGGACTATAATAGAGTTTAAAGAGAAGCTAGATAATTTCATGGAGGTTAGGTCCATAAAAGGCTATTAGCCAGGGGATAATAAAATGGTGTCCTTGGCTTCTGTTTGTCAGAGGCTGGAGAGGAATGGCAGGGGACAAATCGCTTGATCATTGTCTTCGGTCCACCCTCTCTGGGGCACCTGGTGCTGGCCTCTGTCAGTAGACAGGATACTGGGCTAGCTGGACCTTTGGTCTGACCCAGTACGGCCGTTCTTATGTTATGTTCTTATATGATATAATTATAAAAATCACACCCTAATCAGCCTGTGACAGTAAAATTTTTACATGTAGACAAGGCCTTAGTCCAAGATATTAGTGTCCTGTAACCTCAAGAAAGAATTCTTTTTATATAAATCACAACTAAGCCAGGTTTATGCTGAAATTTTTCTATCTTGCTAAATCAGTCAGGGGTGTGATTTGTGATTGACAGAGCTATGCAGACAAAAGCCTGTACTGTAGAACATGGTTTTGCCAGTATCACTTATTTTAGAAGTGGGATGTGGACTAAGGTGATTTGAATAAACAAAATCAGTTTTGTCAATATAAGTTGCATCTTCATTAGGAGTACTATGCTCATTTGTATACTGGTACACAAGACCTGGCCTAAATCCTGTCTGTTTTCTGTATCAAATGGGATGCTACATTGGACATTGAAGTCTAAAGTGTTTCATTTGATTTCATAGGATAGTTCAAGTGCTACTGTATAACTATTTTAGTCATATTGGGGCTACCATAAGATTCTCTTTCAACACAGGGGGTTTGTTTAATTCACATGGGCTTTAGTATTGGCATCAGCAAACTGGCTTTGCTGTAACTGTGGCCTTTTGTTAAATTTGCAAGTTTCTTTTATAAATGCGTTTGAGCATCAAATAGGTTTAATTATAGAAAACAGTGTTAAAATACTTCATATATCTACAGTTAACATCATTTAGAAGTAATCTGCTGCAGATATATTTGGTGTTGCTCCACCAATATAGTAACAGAATTACCAATACATGACAGGATTATGCTAGCATTGTACTTTATTCACTATAGTTTAAAATCTAACTGGTAATACTTATTTTAATTTTTAAAAAACCCTGCACTTCTTGCAGAAATAAAACTAAAATGATAATATAGAACCACACACATCTATTCTTTACAGAACGGAGGGTGTATTGTGAATAGAAATATCTTTTGATTTCCCCTCCTGTGTTGACCACAAGATCTGCATTCTTCTTCGAGTGCTTGCTCGTGTCCATTCCAGTTAGGTGTGTGCATGCCGCATGCACAGATTGTCGGAGAGTTTTCCCTTAGCGGTACCCATTGGGCCAGCCCCTTGGAGTGGCGCAGCTATATCGGTGCATATATACCCTGCTGGCCCTCCACCCTCTCAGTTCCTTCTTACTGCACATGGTTGTTGGAGCTCCCTTCTCGCTTGCCTGCAAGCGTTATCTCAGCAGTATTCAAACTGTTCTAAGTAGTTATCACCTTGTCCCTTTTGTTTCTTATCCAAGTTACTTTCTCTGTTAGATAAAGAAAGGTAAGTTGTTTGGGTTGGGGCTCGCCAGTTGCTTCCCCTTTCCACCCAGTCCACAGGGCATGCCAAGGCATCACGGTTTTAAGCCCTGCACTGACTGTTCCAAGCCTACACCCCGTGGTAACCCACACGATTCGTGCTTAAAGTGCTTGGGCAAGGCCTACGTCCCGGCTAACTGCAGAATCTGCTACAGTTTTAAACCCAGGACACCGCGTGAGAGGGACTTATACTTGAAGATACTCCTTATGGAGTCGGCGCTTTGCCTGGCACTGTCTTCTAACTTGGCACCAAAGTCCTGCAGCACACCACCTTCAATGCTGGAGACTTCCGGTACCTCATCGGTGTTGAGGCACCCTACAACGTGGCACCACTCAGTCGCCGGTACAGCACAAGAAGAAAAGAGGGGAGAGGGGCAGGTCCCCAGTCAGGACACCCTGTTGTGCCCACACCGGCCACAAGGTCTGCTGCACGTGGGCCAGAGCGTGGCCAGTTGAGCGCAACCAAAAGCCACAGTGCAGGGGAGGAGTCGGATCAGGTCCAACAGCCCTCCACTCCGGATACGTTCAAGGCGGCATGGGAGCTGATTGAGTTGACGGCTGACTTGCCCTCCCCTCCTTTAGAGCGCAAGAACTGGTCTCGGGATCAGGCCTTGGCATCGGATCCAGGTAGGCCCGCACCACCCTTGGCACTGGCGCCCCATGTGGTACAGCGTTCCCTGGTTCTCAGGTCAATGCCGGCACCGGCAAGCCTCTTGGCACTGGTGGCTTCACTCTCTCAGGAGTCCAGAGAGAGCTCAGCATCAAGCACAGTCATCCTTGATAGCACACCCACTTGATAGCACCAGAGCGCCTCATGCCCCCTCTGCTGGTGTAGCCCTCGAGCAAGCCAACCTCAGTGGTTCGGCACGCGGAGAGACATCGTTTCCTGGGCCAAACCTCCACTCCACCGTGGTGGGAGTCTGACTACTCAGGAGTCCAACGTGGAGTCAGTACCATCAAGGGTGTCCATCTCTCATTCCCACTCTCAGCACTGCTCAAGTTCCCAGCATCCCTAAGATCCCTGTCCTGGCACCACTCTCACTTCTGGCATCATGAGTGCCACGACAATGACTCGGGCCTCTCACAAACATGGCCTCCACAGTGGCAGCATCTGGATCAGTGGCTGTTCTGGCCCCCCTGGGCATACCACCAGGCCCAGGGGAGCGTTCCCTGTACGGCAGGGTCTGCACGTTTGGGGATCTGGGCCCCATCTTCAGCCACCCTGCTTCCCAGTGCCCCAGCACCGCATGTCTTGGCAGTATGCGGGGAGTCTCCCGAGCCCCAGTCGGAAGACGGCGGGGGTCATGGGCCGTCGGAGCAGTCTGCCCCCTCTCAAGCGTCGGAGCAGCACCATGAGATGGAGGACTCGAAAGTACGAAAGTATTCATCGTCCTCCCCTGACAAGGCCCTGGAATGTTGTTGCTCATGTCCATTCCACATCGCACCCACCTCTCCTATGTCATAGCATTACGGCAAGAAGGAACTGAGGGTGGAGGGCCAGCGGGGATATATATGCACCGATATAGCGGCACCATTCCAGGGGGCTCCCCGGCTGGCCCGATGGGTACCGTTAAGGGAAAACTCTCTGGCAAACCGTGCACGGGATGGACATGAGTAACATGTCGGACAACGTTACAAAGTAAGTAACCATCTTTTTTCTGTTCTGAGACGCATCACATGTCTTCTGGAAAGTCCTTTAAATTTCCATGTCAGTTTGCCCATGTGGAAAAATGTTTTCCTGAATCCCAGTGGCATTATTGAGGCTTAATCTTTAGTATCTAAAGTATATTAAGAGTTTTGAATAGACATTGCTATTTTAACATTTTAATTGTATTTTTCTCTTTATAGATGGCTATTCCTATGAAAAAGAGGCAATGGAAAACTGGATCAGCAAAAAGAGACGGTCTAGTCCTATGACAAATCTCCCTCTTCACTCTCTTGTGCTTATACCAAATAGGACTCTGAAAATGGCCATTAATCGCTGGCTAGAGACTCAGCAGAAATATAATGAAACAACTTAGCCTTGAATACATCAATTGTTCTAATTTGTTAATTACAATGAAATTGTAGGTAAAGGAAGGAAATAACTATCAGATATCTTAAAACACTGGAAAGGGAAAAAAGATACAGACTAAGGACATGGACAGAAGTGTAACTCACATAGAGTCCTTTAAATGTAGAACTTTAAATTAAAAAAAACCTGTTGGTGCCTAATAGAGGGTTTTTTTTTAATATTTGAGCTTTAATTATAGTAGTTTTGTGTAAGAAAGTTTAAAAGCTAATTGAAAATATGTAGGCTTGGCAGAATTTGATTTTTATTTTTTTAGTTTCAATAAATAATTATGCTCGTTTTAAAGCATTTTTAAATGTTCATGGTTGCAGGGAATTACGGTGGCATGGGCAGTTTTTTAAGGACAGTTGATGGTAAGATTCAAAAAGCTGAAGCAAAAAACTGTCAATATCATGTCAAAGTATACAAAGTTAATATCCTTAAATCAAAATCTAATACATTCTCAAGCACCATTTTTCTTAGTTTGCCTATCTGTAAATTTAGCAATGGAAGTATTTTCATCTGTTTGAGTGTACAATGAAATTGATGTACATCTACTTTAAAAAAAATCAAATTCTTCCAACCCTAAATATATGCATGCTTAAATAAATAATGATATAATGTATGTTTTTTGAGTGTGTGTCAAAAAATCTGGTATTTTGTTTGCAGTAGTTATAACAAAAGAACATTAAGGTTGCAAAGTTAAGCACTCAAAAGTTAGGAATTGCCAATAGTAAGGATCGTGAAACCTTTGTTTTGCCTCTTTGTACATGATAGTCTTTAAATTGTATTACACACTCTTTTTGCATCATCTCTTTGTTTCTACTCAGAGAAATGAGATCCTGAAACAACCTTACAACTTGTTAGAAGGGCAGACAGCATACTTAAAATTATCCAGCTCTTTTTAAAAATGGAGTAGAATTGTGTGATATGGTTGTTTGTAATAGAGAAGAAGGTGCAACTCAATAGCCTTGTGTTTTGCTTCTAAAGTTAACATTTCAGGATTTCAGCTGGTTACCTGCTGGGATCTGAAGAGATTTCCTTCCTGTCTATGCATTCTTCAGTGTTGTCGTCTTCTTCCTCTGAAGCATCAACAATGGCATATCTGGACAATGGGATTTTGGGCAGAGCAGAGGTTGCGCAAGCCATTTTCTTAGATGCTTGACTGGTTGGTTCTTACCCACATGCTCAGTGTGTACCTGATTAGCCTATGTGAGGTCAAGGAGAAATTTTGCTCCAGGTCAGATTGACAGACTCTGGGGTTTTTTATTTCTTTCCATTGATGGGTTTATTGTATGGCGACTGGGTAGTAGTGGCGGGCCACTGATAAACTGGTCAGATTAGATGATCTTGTGATCTTTTCTGGCCTTAAACAGTATGTTTTGGGTATCTTCCTCACCTTAGCTCTTTGTTCTTAAGCTTCAGAGGCGTAGCCAAGTTAGTCTGTAACCGGAAAAACTTCTAGACTATTTGTTGTTGTTGTAGCACCTTAAAGGCTAACAAAGCTTATGCTCCAATAAATCTGTTAGTCTATAAGGTGCCACAGGACTTCTCGTTGACCTTGACTTAAGCAAAGCTTTTGAAACAGTCTCCCTCAGAATTCTTGCCAGCAAATTAAGGAAGTATGGATTGGATAAATGGACTGTAAGGTGGATAGAAAGCTGGCTAGATTGTTGGGCTCAGCGCAGCACAATCTATGGCTTGATGTCTGGCTGGGGGTCGGATTCAAGCAGAGAGCTGCAAGGATCAGTTCTAGGGATGGTTCTAGTCAACATCTTTATTAATGTCCTGCATGAGGGGATGGACTGCACCCTCAGCAAGTTTGCAGATGATACTAAGCTGGGAGAGAGGTAGATATGCTGGAGAGTAGGGATAGGGTCCAAAGTGACCTGGACGATTTGGGCCAAAAGAAATCTCATGAGGCTCAACAAGGACAAGTGTAGAGTCCTGCACGCAGGTTGGGGATTGACTGGCTAAGCAGCAGTTCAGCAGAAAAAGATGTGGGGATTACAGTGGATGAGAAGCTGGATATGAGTCAACAGTGTGTCCTTGAAGCCAAGAAGGCTAATAGCATATTAGGTTGCATTAGGAGGAGCATTTCCAGCAGATCTAGAGAAGTGAAATATTCCCCTTTACTGGTGAGGCTACATCGGGAGTATTGTGTTCAATTCTGGGGCCCCCAACTACAGGAAGGATGTCAACATATTGGATAGGGTCCAGCAGAGGACAACCAAAATGATTAGGGGGCTGGAACACATGACCTACCAGGAGGCTAAGGGATTAGGACTAGTTTAGTCTGCAGAAGAGGAGGAGTGAGGGGGATTTGATAGCCTCTCTCCATCCTCTCTGAGACATCACTGCAGGTAGTTAAAGGCTGCTGTTCTCAGTGGTAACAGATGGCAGAAGGCAGCACATATAGAGGCTCTGAGGAAATTAGTCACACTGGAGCAAAGGCAGTAGATGGAACAGGGACCAGCAAGGCTGCCCCAGGAGTGACAGTCTGAAAGAAAGAAATCGTCCCACCGCCTGAGGGTGCACATTGACTCTGGAAGGTGAAGCATCAGCTTCTCACACCCTTCTCCCCAATTTCCAGGCTCCAGTGCTCTGAGGCATATTGACTACAAGGAGACCAGCACTGAAAACTGTGCACTATGGACACCTCAATAATATAACTGAAATTATCCTTAACTATAGAGCTCCTTAATAGCTAGTGTACATCCTCTCTTTAGGATGCAACACGCTGCTGCCTGAAGTTAAAACAAACCCCGGTGTTCGACCCCCCAGCATTTCAAACTCTACTTCTAATAGAAACAAGACTTGTTTGTTGGGGGGAGGGGGTGTTTTGAATTCAACTAATACAAAATAATTATAAACTGCCTCTTGGATCTTTCTAAATATTTTTCTCCTTCTCAATCCCTCCCAAAATCAGCTGGTTGCAGCTTCCACCAGGACCATGGAGTGACAATTCCTGGGGGAGGGGAGAGGGGGACTGATCAGAGGGCATGGTGTGGCATCTGAGGTAGATAAAGATGACTCACAAATAGAAAGAATTTAAAATCCCAAATGTCACCAACAGCCACTAAGGTGGCTGTGTCAGCACTGAATTCACATATTTGAAACAAGTTTCCTTATCTCTGTTGCTAATAGCGCCTTAGATTATCTGGTAGTCTTATCAGCTTGATTTTCCTTTTCAGTTTAGGCTGGGCATTTTACCATCTGCCTGCCATTCAGTTTGAACAATGAAAAGAAGTTGGCTAGCTGCTCTTGTTTTTCCTAGTCAACGCTGGTGTTCATGCACTAGGACATTCCTGCATGTGTGATTTGGGGCTCTATCTGCCCCCCCCTCCCCACACACACACCCCTCTCTATATTCCCAACTTGTAGCAGATTTCTCTTTTCTAAATGTCTGTTCATATTAGCTTTTTAAAAACCATTTTAAATGTAATTGATTTGCCCAGAACTAGTTGATATCTTTATCTACTTTTCCTGATATTTTCTTTTGCTCTCTGGCTAACTATTCATATACCTGTGGGTATTTAGAAGCTTTGGCTTGCCTAATTAACATCTACCTGGTCCCCATTCAGGTTTTGTGATGTCAGAATAGTTTCCATCATGCTGAATGGTGATGTCATAAAAAATGGATAGCAGCAAAACCGAATGAGCTGATTTTCACCCATGTACCTCTTTGCAATCAATAGTGTTGGGATATATAAAGGAAAGGAACCCAGGTATTACATGGGTCTTGATAGCCTCACTTTTGGAAGACTTTTCCCATATTCTTTCTGGTGATTTTTGCTGCGGGTGATCCTGACAGATATCACTGGACACATGGTTGGTTCCTGCATATTCCCTTTTCCTTGACTGCTTAGAGATGGGGGTTTTGCAAACATCAGTTTCACTAGCAGCAGTGCTGCTAAACCAAGATTCAGCTTTGTAAAAGTGAAGGTTATGGAACTGAAACATGACTCAGATGCAAACTCAATCCCCAGCACAACATTCAATAAATGAAAGTTGATAGGGAAGGAGGGGTGAGAGAAAAGAGAGATTAAGTGGTGTGTGTGTACGGAGTAGGAATGTGAAGGACTAGTCAACAATCCGATAAATTTAGATTAATCCATTTCTGTTGTGGGACTTTGGATCTGATGCCTGTGCTGTTAGCAATGGGGTTTCCTCCCTTAAGTCCTGAGCCCATGGGAGTCTCCCATGAGTATATTAATTGGTGACTTTTTCCATCTAGTCATTATGCTTGCAACAGGAGTATTGTTTTGTTTTGCTAATAAAAAGTGTTTTTTTTAAACCTGGTATTGGTTCATTTCTGTGTCCTGGAAAATGGCTGGGGGATCTGAATGCCTCTGACAAGGGGATAGCAGCCACAGACTGCAGTTTATATTTTCTCTTTCTTTTTCAAGCTCTTTGGAGAAAAGAGCTTGGGGTGCCCTGGGGTTGGTTTCAAGTGTCCCCCTGTTTGTGGGTTCAAAAGCACTTGATGGTGGCAGCAGATTTTTATCCCCAAAATCCACGTATTAGGATTCTGAGGGGAAGTTTTATACCAAAGCATGGAAATTAAGGTTTTGGGGTACTTTTGCAGGCCCCCTACTTCTGCATTCATTGTGCCAGAGTGGGGAATCAGACATGACAACTAGTCTACACATGGACTATTTGATTAGTCTAGTCCAGTGGTCCCCAACCTTTCCAGGTTGTCGGGCACCAGGGGGCGTGGCCGTTTGCCCGCCGGGCGGCCCCCCCCCATAGCTGCATGCCCGGGGCCGGCGATCCCGGGCCTTGATGTCATGGCATGCCAGGCATCTCCCCTCTTAGCTGTTGCATGGGCGTTTGAACATGCCGCTCACGCGCTCCCTTGGATGTCTTGCAAACCTGGCATTTCCCCTCTCAGCTGTTGTGCAGAGAGGGTGCGCTCCCTCCAATCATCCCACTTTGGAGACTGTTTCAAAACACCAGCGCGGGCGCACATACATGCCCCCGCAGGTGCCATGGCACCCGCGGGCACCATGTTGGGGACCACAGGACTAGTCAATTACCCACAAATTAACATCCCTAGTATAGAAGCAGGCAGATGCACATTCTTTCCAGCATACACATGGCAAGTAGGAAAGTGGTGACATTGGTTGCTAATATATGCAGAAGTGACCTTATGTCTCTCCTCCCTGAATATGTTCATCTTCACATAACCTTAATTCCCTGTCTTAAAGTGAATCTGAGAAGTAGATTAAGTGAACAGTTTAAGGGCGTACATATTTTAATATGCATGGAATGCCCAAATGACATCATCCAGGAAAATCCCTGTCTGTTATTACTGTAGTCATTTCCAATAGAGAAAATTATGGGAAATGGCAAAAAGTAAAAAAAAAAGTGTGTCAAGGAGGCTATATTTTATAATTACATAGCAACTGAAAAGAACTTCTAACAGAACGCTTTTTAATATTACAATAGGACAGGGACCCTATCCCTGCCCTCCAACGTATCTACCTCTCCCCCTAGCTGAGTGTCATCTGCAAACTTGCTGAGGGCGCAATCCATCCCCTCATCCATGTCATTAATAAAGATGTTGAACAAAACTGGTCCAAGAACCGATCCTTGGGGCACTCTGCTAGAAACTGACCGCCAACCTGACATTGAGCCATTGATCACTACCCGTTCTGCCCGAAAGTCTAGCCAGTTTTCTATCCATCTTACAGTCCACTTATCCAAACCATATACCCTTAATTTGCTGGCAAGAATATTGTGGGAGAGACTGTGTCAAAAGCTTTGCTAAAGTCAAGGTATATCACATCCACTGACTTTCCCATATCAACAGAGGCAGTTACCTCATCATAGAAGCTAATCAGATTGGTCAGGCACGACTTGCCCTTCATGAATCCATGCTGACTATTCCTAATCACTTTCCCTTCTTCCAACTGCTTCAAAATGGATTCCTTGAGGTTCCCTTCCAGGGACTGAGGCAAGGATGACCAGTCTGTAGTTCCCTTGATCTGAAAGGCCCGGGGGCCACATTGATGCACATGCCATGGGCCACAACGTTAAGTGTGGTTGCATATACATTGCAAATATATGCAAAGAGCCTCTTTCACACTAATGGGCATGAATACAAAGATTAAGGCAAGACTACACAACACACAGGCCCCATGTAAGTCAGTTCTGCTGATATTAATAAAATGCAATATTTACACGATTTCCACCCATATGAGAGCACTTTTAATGAGCAAAGACAGGCCAGGAACTTAAGTACTAAAACGCGTATCAGATCACCATTATATTGACTTTTTTTTTGGCTCCCATCCACAGGCCACGTATTGAATCCCACATAATCCCAAACCGAGGGCCACAAACCAACGGGCCACATGCAGCCCACGGGCCACATGTTGAGTAGCCCTGCATTAAGGCATAGCTACTGCACATTTTACAGTATTTTATTTGATTTCATATTATTTACAGTCATGCACCTTGTTAATTATCCCTTGTATATTCTTTCCTCCATGCCATTTGAAAATATACATGAGCTATTTTTTGTAACAGGTGGGTGCCCATGGTGCACATGACC